TTGTGTGTGTGTGTGTGTGTGTGTGTGTGTGTGTGTGTGTCCTTAATTATCTTGCTTTAATTTGACAATGAATGTTTTGCTTCTGAATGCCAATGTTTGGGAAATAATTGTACAACAGATGATAATTTATTAAGAGGCCTGAATATTTCAGTATTCTTGTCTGAGCCCACCCCCCAGTTATACGAATTTAAGGGGAGTGCAGTGATTTTTTAATAGATTTTAAAAGACAATTTAAGCAATAGGAGTCCTGTCACCAGTTCTATGTTATGTATACAGTGACACGAATCTTTGAAATTTTGAAGTACAGAAGAAAGTGCACTTATCAATGTAAATGAACCAAAAAATATTAATGACATCAAATGTGCCGTTTCGGTAGCATATTATTATAACATTCGATTGCTTATAGATGTTTATTATTATCGTGACTGAAAGTAAACTCGTGAGAATTTTTTTCAATGTTTTCAGAAAACAAAACGAATGACAATAGCTTTATAAATGTAATAAATCCTATTTGTAATCTCATGAGCAGAGGTGCGTACAGTAAGCAAGTTCAAAACGTTTAGATATCTAGGTACATCTAATGCGAATTGTAACATGTGAATAGACTAAAGATTTGCAATGACTAATGACAGTTTCAATGCAATAAGCCCTGTCCTTAAAACGTATGAACATCTCATTGGCAGCATAAAATAAATGTCTCTATAGGCTATGTATAATCAACCCTTCTTGACGAGAGTGAATGACAGGCAGTTACTAAAAGTTGTGAAAATAAACTGAAATAGGAGTCAGAAACGTGGTTTCTCCGGAGACTGGAGCATTTCAAGGAAGAAAAACAAAATACCAAATGAGATTAGGGGGCTCTCTTGGCCTAGAGGTTAAGGTGTTCGACTCTCATTCAAAGGTCCCGGGTTCGAATCCGGGTAGCGACGGGAAAACATTTTTCTTTAAAAAGTGTCTCCTTTCACCTTCTTTCCTTCTCTCTCGCTATATTCTGTCGTCTTCTTTCGTCTCCACTTTTCCCCCACCCTCTCACCTCCTCTGCCCCCTCCTCTGGGCTCTTGACTCCTTTCTGCAGCCTTTCTACTGCTACTCCTTGACTCCTTCTTACTGCTGTCTTTCCGCCACACCCCTGATCTTCTGGTAGGAGAGATCTGCACCTAGCCTTCTCGGACAAGGGCGAAAAATCTCGGAGGTACCGTTTGATAGCTGTGCTCGTTAAAGATCCCTTGGTCGTCCAAAATCGATAAGAGTAGGCTTCGGCCGCCACCCGGGCAAAATTCAAAATTTCCTACCAATTAAAAATGTTTGATGTGTCCGCGCGCTCGTATGACCATATGCAGTTGCGAGCGCTTTAGAACACTTACCAAAAAACAAAACAAATGAGATTATACTGAGAGAGCCAGAGCTGAATGGTTACTGTGAAAGACAAGTAGGAAGAGACAGACTGATGCTGTTTTGGGGGTCTTGGATCGACGTAAGGCCTTCAACGGCTTGCTTCAACTCGACATAACAGAAAGCAAAAGAAACAAAATGATTTACTCTGTGAATAAATGAGGACCGAACGGGAAAAGGTCGGTGTAGTATAGTTTGTTTTCTTTGTGTTGTTTCAATGGGTTTTTTGTTTGTTTGTATGTATGTTTGTTTGTTTGTTTGTTTGTTTTAGAGCATCCGACCATAAGAATGAATGGCTAACCATGGTAGCAGCTGATGCGTGTAGCACAACTTACCTTGATAACAATTTAGGCCTTCCATAATGTGCCTAGAATGATAGCTATTTCTTTTATACAAGTTTCAGTTCAATTTTCTTTATGTCTTTTTTTTTTTTGTGGTGTGTTTCAGGATGTCAGCGCAACGAAAGCTCATGCAGCCGATTTCTACGTGGAAAAAATGGGAGCTATTAATTCAGTAAGTATGGCGTACTTTTTGTAATAAACAGATAGAAAGGATATTAGCTACAACTGAAAATAAAGGCATCTTTCTAATGTGCCTGTCGTTTTGTCTGCATTTATGGATATACGGATGGATGGATGGATCAGGAATTTAGTCCAGAAAGTTCCCGAACCCACCTATCGGTTTAGTCACACCCTGGACTGGATCAACACCAGTGACTCGTGCCAAGACCTCATTGGCATATAGGGGTTGGACAAAGAAAAGGACTTAAATCTTAAGGTCTGCCTTTCACAAGCAATATGGCTGTGTCAAAAGTACTGTAAAATTTCAAACTCCTGAAGCTGCCCTCCATTCCAATATTATGTCGTGTGTTTTTCCCCGAATGCCTCCCCCTCTCTCTCTCGTGGGTCCATAAGGACATCACTTTCGGGGGTTGGTGGTGGCAAAGGATTGG